TCTCTGTCCAATCAGAACCTTCCCCACCCCCGGACTTTGAGCAGAATTAAATAAGATAATAAGATAAAGCCGATTTAACGAGTTTTTCATGCGAACCTCAATTCAGAAGTATTATTTCCATGTAAACTCCAAGGAGAATATTTTAATTCCGAACTGTTTAACACGGCCGGTCTGTTTTTCTGTGTGTTTTTGAGCTGTAAAACCACCTGTGATTGAGTAAATGTAGGTGACAGATCTTCTTCTTTTTCTTCTTCTTCTCTTTCTCTTTCTGTCAGTGCGGTGTCACTCGGAGTGCTCCACCTGCTCTGGGAGTCCTGACCACTGTGACAGCTGCTCCGACCCAAACTCTGTGCTCCACCTGGGCCGCTGCCTGCCCCACTGCCCCCCCGGCTTCTACCAGGACCAGCACGTCTGCAAACGTGAGATACAAACATTTACCCTTTTTCTCTCTGGAAATGTGAATGTGTTTTTACTCGTTTGGGCTTCGTGATGTGATTTTATTTGGTTTGTTCTGTGTTAAAGTCGTCGTATTTTTCTATTTTCTGATCTAATGTTGTGTTTCCTCGTCACAAACAGACCTGGAGTTGTGTTTTTTTGTTGTTGTTTCGTTCACATGTTTAACGCACAAACCTGCTGTTTTTTTGTCTCAAACTGAAAACTGTTGCACCTCGTGATGTCATGTGGTGATACAGGAAGCGCTCCATTGTGTTTTTAAACTCCACACACCTTCACTAGAATCATCTGGGTCATTTTTTCAGTCCTGGAATTCCCGATTTCTCCCGAACTAAAGGTGAAAGGAGCTGCTGAAAACTTGAAAACTCTCGCTTCATGACATCACAAAGTGGAACACAGAATAAATGTTAACTTTTTTTCAGGATTTGTATGAGTCCTGTCTGTTCTAGAGTTAATTCAATTATTTTGGAAATGTTAATTAAGTAACACTGGACTAACATTCATGTTTAACCTGAAATCAAGAGTTATATTCACGTTTTAAGAGTAAAACAGATAACACTGTGTAGAGTTATCCTGGTTTAGCTCAACAACTCACAGAGGTGTTTTATTTTTACACTTTATTTAGTTAATTTACCATTTTCGGCAAAGTCTCAAACTCAAATTGCCAGAGGCCAAAGTTAAAAACTGGGACTAAGTCGTGGGCCAAACTAAATATTTATTGAAACATTTCAACAACATCTGCATGTTTTCTCTTCTTTTGAGATATATAATGTTAAACCTTTTCTTATTAAAATAAATGTTTAATAATAGTTTTGATTAAACACTGAATCCAGAACAAGCAAAATATAAAATAATAACAACATTTTAAATAAATAATGTCTCGATAGTCGATCTGTGTGCAGCAGCAGCTCTGATACATGTTTGATATGATCTCGAGGGCCAAATATAACTATATCACAGGCCAAATTTGGCCCCCAGGCCTGAGTTTGACATGTCTGTCCTTAAGTGTAAATTAAGGTTCACTGTAAAAAAAAAAAAAAACACATTCAGTGCATGTAAAGCCTTTATTTTCTTTAAAACAGTGTAGTCAAAGTCAAAATGAACTTTATTTTCAGTTCCAGAGGACCCGGTCCAGCAGAAGTAAACATCAACAAGGCCAAAACTTCAAGTTAATTCATCTGATATAAAAGTGTATTGAACAGATACATATGTACTCGAGTTTATGAAACTGTTGGCCTTTTTTCTGTACCATTTTTGTTTCTAAAGTTCCATCCGTTTTAAACAGACCATGTATGAAACATGGAACAAAAATTATTTCCCAAATTTCAAAGACAAAAAAAAAAAGTATTTAAAATGATAAAAATGTTCTTGGAAGGACTGACATATTTTATAGAAATAGTTTCTTTCATTTTGAAGTAATATTAAAGTATTCAGAAGAAAAAAGCGACAAATGATGTAAAATCCTGCACCTTCTTCTTGTTTGTACAATTTTCCCTCCGTTACTTTTCCTCCGTTACCATGACGTTTCTTAATAAAAAACTTCATGAGTCAAAAAGTAAGAGGTTTTTTCAACCTAATCTTGTACCATATGGTAGAAAACTATATGAAGCAAATATTCAAACCAGTTTTGTTAAGGATATGTAAGTGAGAACCAAGAGTTATCACTGTTTGGATTTATTGACCAAAAAGTGCTGCATATTTCATTCCCTCCGTTACCGACATGAGTTTTTTAATTTTTCTCAACAACTTGAAAGAATCTCACAGGTTTAACTTGACCCTGTTGGAGTGTAACTCTTTCCTACATTCTGATACTTTACTTATTTCAATAGTTCCTCTAGTTTCTGAATAAGAGACATTTGAATGTCAAAAATCTGACCCTGTTTCCCTCCGTTACCACTTGACCAGACCCTCATCTACTACACACACACAGAACATGAAGTGTAAATAGATTTCAATAATAAAAAAAATAAACACAGTATACAGACAGACAGACGAGGACATAAACATTTCCACAAGAACAATGACGTAGTTGTTTTTTGGTTTATGTGCAGGTGCAGTGTGTAAAGTGCTGACACAGCAGCTGGATTTATGAATGTGTGGAGTTGTTTTGGATGTGGTGGTTTCTGGAGTTTTGGTGAGTGTGTTGATGAGCCTGATGCCTGTGGGGAGAGTGTGTGTTGTGTTTGTGAGTGTGTTTGTGAGTGTGTTTGTGAGTGTGTTTGTGAGTGTGTTTGTGAGTGTGTTTGTGAGTGTGTTTGTGAGTGTGTTTGTGAGTGTGTTTGTGAGTGTGTTGTGAGTGTGTTTGTGAGTGTGTTTGTGAGTGTGTTTGTGTTTGTGAGTGTTTGTGAGTGTGTTTTGTGAGTGTGTTTTGTGAGTGTGTTTGTGAGTGTTTGTGAGTGTGTTTGTGAGTGTGTTTGTGTTGTGAGTGTGTTTGTGAGTGTTTGTGAGTGTGTTTGTGAGTGTGTTTGTGAGTGTGTTTGTGAGTGTGTTTGTGAGTGTGTTTGTGTTTGTGAGTGTGTTTGTGTTGCGTTTCGTGCTGCGAGAGCGTTTCCCGGGCGCTGGGTGGGTGGTGTTGATCTTGATCACTGCAGCGGGAAGTGTAAAAGATGAAATTATGTACAAAACCGGTTCAGACTGGTCTTCTCTGGTGACAGTTTGAAGGTGGGAGGTGCCAAAGTAACACTAGAGGACGTCAAATTAACTTCAACCATTTCAACTCTGGCAAATAACCCCAACTCCCTCCCTCGTTTAACTTTCGAACAGTTAAAATATCACTTTTGGTGTGAAAAACAACCCTGGAATTTTAACCCTCCAGTTTTTGCTGTGTTGTAGACAGACTCACGATAAAGAATTACCATATTTTGCGCATTATTAGGCCCTCTGGATTATAAAGCGCACTGACATTGAATGGTCTATTTTCCAACTTTTTTCACAATCCTGAAAAGGTTTAACAGTATCCAAATTTGTGAATGAAACAAAACACAACTCCACATTTGTTTTTGAGAAGGAAACAACATTAGATCATGACTAAAACGTGCATCGAGTAACTTTTCTGGTGGAGGGTTTGTATATTCTGTATTTTCCGGGCTAATGAATGTGTGGTTGTATTTTCAGTTTAATCCATCATGATTTAAAACTAATAGTGCCTATAATGTTTATTTTAACTGAATTATAGGCCAGTTTCATTGTTGACAAAAGCGTGCGTTGCATGCTGGGAATTATTTTGGTCGGCGGCAAGAAACACTAATTGAACATGACGGACGGAGCGAGAAAGCACGTAAAGGGTATTGATCCCGGTTATTTATCCACTCTAACGGCAGACGACCCAAGACCATTTGACCAGAAATTGGTCATAAACATCGACGGACGACAAATCACCCTTTTCAACCCCGACAAAAGGTGAAACCAAATTTCTGGTCAGAATCACCAACTACCTGGACAAATATTCACTTGGGCGACATCCACAATGACTTGGTGGAAACTCCTGGGCCATTCACAGCAGAAAAGATGAAAACCTCCAAGAGTCTCGAAAAAAAAAGCATTTGGGGAAACTACAAAAATAATAATAACTGCTCCTGGTTTAACATCAGATTTTTAAAAGCGTAATCAGAGACACCGACCTGGTCCCAGTCAAGACCGAGAGACCGAGTGGCTTCGAGACCGACACGAGTCCGAGTCCGAGCGGCTTCGAGTCCGACACGAGACCGAGTCCGAGCGGCTTCGAGACCGAGACGAGACCGAGTCAGAGCGGCTTCGAGTCCGAGACGAGACCGAGTCCGAGCGGCTTCGAGACCGACACGAGACTGAGTCCGAGTGGCTTCGAGTCCGAGACGAGTCCGAGACCGAGCGGCTTCGAGGCCGACACGAGTCCGAGTCCGAGCGGCTTCAAGTCCGAGACGAGTCCGAGTCCGAGCGGCTTCGAGTCCGAGACGAGACCGAGTCCGAGCGGCTTCGAGTCCGAGACTGAGCGGCTTCGAGTCCGAGCGGCTTCGAGACCGAGACGAGACCGAGACGAGCGGCTTCGAGACGAGACCGAGACGAGTCTGAGCGGCTTCGAGTCCGAGACGAGACCGAGTCCGAGCGGCTTTGAGTCCGAGACGAGTTCGAGTCCGAGTCCGAGCGGCTTTGAGTCCGAGACAAGTTCGAGTCTGAGTCCGAGCGGCTTCGAGACCGAGACGAGACTGAGTCCGAGCGGCTTCGAGACCGAGACGAGACCGAGTCCGAGCGGCTTTCGAGACCAAGACGAGTCCGAGCGGCTTCGAGACCGAGACGAGACCGAGTCCGAGCGGCTTCGAGTCCGAGACGAGTCCGAGACGAGACCGAGTCCGAGCGGCTTTGAGTCCGAGACGAGTTCGAGTCCGAGTCCGAGCGGCTTTGAGTCTGAGACGAGTTCGAGTCCGAGTCCGAGCGGCTTCGAGACCGAGACGAGACCGAGTCCAAACACGGTCAAGTCTGAGGCAAGACCAAGACCATAAAAAAAGTCGTCTGGAGGCCGGTCTCGAGACCAAGACCCGTCTCGAGTGTGTAGTTGTGTGTAGTGTTTTGTTAGCATGCTAGTTGTCTGTAAAAGTTGTAAAAGTTGTGAAGAACAATGACTTGGTGGAAACTCCTGGGCCGTTCACAGCAGAAAAGATGAAAACCTCCAAGAGTCTCGATGTGTTGTTGAACTTGTTGGAGTCCACGGTTTGTTAGGATCTTCTACGTTTGCTCTGCGAATGTTTGAAAGCCGTTTAATTCACCGTTAGTGGTTCTTTTCACTCAGAACACGAAAAAGACATTTTCCTTCTTTCGTGCTTTTATTTGTGCATCTGATAATGCAGCAGGAATTTACCATTATCGGGGAGAAATACGCGAGGTTACGCACTGTGTTTGACCGCTGTCGTGTTTCTTGCCTCCGACCAAAATATTTCCCAGGATGCAACGCGGGCTTTTAATAACAATGACGTCAGCTGAAACTTGCCTATAGGCACTATTACTACATCCCCGTTGTCACGTGATGCTCATAAGGGAGACCAAGATAAGAGGCAAGTCCAGCTGCTAGAGTTTGTCCCAAAACAAAACACACAAAAAAAAAGTACTTCCACAATTTGGCGGCATTTTGGCTTCAGGACACATTTGTTTACGTTTTACAGAAATGAAACTTAAAACCACATGACTCATTTGCATAAACTGTAAGGTCTGAATAAACAGTTCTTTCCTTGTGTCGCTGATGTGGTTCAGTCAAACTAAAGGACACGACTCAGTGAAATATCAGTGTTGTGGCCTGATCCCGTCAGATCTTAGAAGCTCAGCAGGACAGGGTCTGGTCTGGACTTGGATGGAGACAGTGGGAGAATCAGGAGCCACAGGAGGCACCAGTGGCAATAACTGTCGTTGTGTCCTTAGGCAAGACACTTCACCCACATTGCCTAGTATGAAAGTGGTGTGTGCGTGAGTGACGGTGGTGGTCGGAGGGACCGATGGCAGCCGCGCTTCCGTCAGTCTGCCCCAAATCCAGGCCCAGTTTAGCATCACCAGGTGTAGAGTGAATGAATAATGCTGAATAATGTTCTGTAAAGCGTCTTTGTGACAAAAATGTCTGTGAAAAGCGCTAAATAAATAAACTTACTTACTTCTCCCTGTGACAGAGGATGTGCTGCTGATGGTGAGTCTGTTCTGTGTGTGTGTTATAAGCCTGTTGTTGTTTATGTTATAGTTTATCTGAAGAACTGTTCACATGTGACGTTAACAGTCTGTTGTTTTCTCTCTTCTGTTGTTTTTACTACAACTTGACTTTACACAGGAAACGTCTGCTCCTGGTCTCTGATTTTATAAAATAAATTTCCCCCAAAAAGTGCGACTTACATGTTTTTTTCTTCTTCATTACTCATTTTTTGGCTGGTGAAACTTATACTCCGGAGCGACTTATAGCCTGAAAAATACGATGGTTAAAATATCACTTTTTGTGTGGGAAAAACAAGTCTGAAATATTTCACCCTGGAAATTTAACCCTCCAGTTTTTGCAGTGTGGAGAAGTAGACAGACGAATAATAAAGAGTCACTCAAACACAACTGCAGGTCTGTTTTTGAGACGGAAACAATGTCATTTCTTCATTTGTTTTTCCATATAAAACCAAAAATAAGAAAACAAAAAAACAACAGTTTTCTTTATTATTTGTCTCCAAAACCAAAATGAAAAAGCAGATAACGATTCTTTCAGTTTTCGATTTTGTGTTTAAAAGGAAAATGGAAAAAACGGATAACGACCGTTTCCTGTTTACGTGACGTCAGTGACTCTGATGCTGGACTTTACGGACTGAACCAGGACTGATCCAGGTGCGGGACCGGACCGGGACCAGAGCGGGACCAGAGCGGGACTGAGACCGCCGGGACTGAGGCCGGGACTGAGACCGGGACTGGAGACCGGGATCAGACCGGGACCAGACCGGGACCAGAGACCCGGGAGACCGGGACTGAGACTGAGACCGGGACTGAGACCGGGATCAGACCGGGATCAGACCGGGACAAGGCCGGGATCAGACCCAGACCGGGACTGAGACCGGGACTGAGACCGGGACCAGACCGGGGACTGAGACCGGGACCAGACCGGGACTGAGGCCGGGACTGAGACCGGGACTGAGGCCGGGACTGAGGCCGGGACAAGGCCGGGACCAGACCGAGACCGGGACCAGACCGGGACTGAGACCGGGACCAGACCGGGACAAGGCCGGGACCAGACCGGGAGACCGGGACCAGACCGGGACCAGACCGGGACCAACCCCGCGGAGGCTCGGAGTCAAAGCTTGGAGTCTGCTCTGGTCCCGGTCTGGTCTCTGTCTGGTCCTGGACCTGGATCAGTCCTGGTTCAGTCCGTACGCAGCGCAAAATCCAGCATCAGAGTCACGGACGTCACGTAAACGAGAAACAATCATTATCCATTTTTCCATTTTACTTTTAAACACAAAATCGAAAACTAAAAAAAACAAATCATTATCCATTTTTTTTTCATTTTGGTTTTTTTGGAATGAACAAATGACACACGGATTTAACATTAGATCACGACTAAAACTTGCATTGTGTCACTTTTCTAGCGTAGAGTTTGTCAAATACTTTTCTCCGTGAAGATTTTATCGCTTTGTCGTCAGATCTGCGGAGAGGCGACCCCGCTCACACTCACAGTGTCTGTTTTTTGAGGTATTTTTGAGCCCCTGTAATTGCATAAATGTAAAGTGGAGCTGTTTAAAGTCACGCTGTGGAACATTCTGGGCAGATCGACGCCTCTAGAAAAGCCACACGACGCGCTTTATGTCGAAAAACAGCCGCGGTCGATGATTTAAAGCGCCTCTCGTTACGTAACGTTTCCAGTCTGTAACGGCTCCCGAAATCGTCCTCGGAATCTCCCTGCGCCGCGTTAGAACATCTCAGCCTAGTTTGGGAACTGGCGCCGGATAAACTTTTTTTTTTCCGAGGTGGAGTTTTGAAAATACAGACGGCCAGGAACTCTGTGGGACTCATTATCCGCTATGAAAAGTGCTGAGATACGTGCGGGTCAATATTTCAAACAGAAGACAATAGGAGCGGGTCTGTGTGGACTTGTTAACTTAGACGAGAGCTTTTGTGGAGCTATTTACAAATCCCAGCAACAGGAAATCAATCAGACGCTCCTCTCCTCTGCCACCTCTTCTCTCAAACCGAGTCGCGAAATAATGGTTTTCCGATGGATCAAATGTTCCTTTAAAAAATCTAAATCCGTTCACAGAAGAAGAAGAAGAAGAAGAAGAAGTAAAAGAAGGAGAAGAAGCTGAAAACGCTGCTCAGCTGGGAACTTTTTTTGTTTACTTTGCTTTTATTTTCTTTTTCAGCGCGAATACGATGATTTAAATCGATGCGCAAACGTTTCAATTTATTTTTTATTTTTTCTGCGACAGACTTGTTGCCATGGAGATGCTATCGCTTTGCCGGAAAGGTTTTGCACTGTGGCATTAAACTCGTCTGTGTTACATTTATTCCATTACAGGTGAATCATAATCAGTGTTGGGAAGGTGACTTTTAAAATGTAATCCCCTACAGATTACAGATTACAGATTACACACCCCAAAATGTAGTTTGTAACGGAATCCATTAAATTACTTAAAGTGAGTAATGTAATCTGAATACTTTGGATTACTTGATTTGCTTTTAGACCTGGTTTAGACCTGGTTTAGACCTGGTTTAGACCTGGTTTTAGTCTTAGTTTAGACCTGATTTAGACCTGGTTTAGTCCTGGTTTAGACCTGGTTTAGACCTGGTTTAGATCTAGTTTAGACCTGGTTTTAGTCTTAGTTTAGACCTGATTTAGACCTGGTTTAGTCCTGGTTTAGACCTGGTTTAGACCTGGTTTAGATCTAGTTTAGACCTGGTTTTAGTCTTAGTTTAGACCTGATTTAGACCTGGTTTAGTCCTGGTTTAGACCTGGTTTAGACCTGGTTTAGACCTGGTTTAGATCTAGTTTAGACCTGGTTTTAGTCTTAGTTTAGACCTGATTTAGACCTGGTTTAGTCCTGGTTTAGACCTGGTTTAGATCTAGTTTAGACCTGGTTTTAGTCTTAGTTTAGACCTGATTTAGACCTGGTTTAGACCTGGTTTAGATCTAGTTTAGACCTGGTTTTAGTCTTAGTTTAGACCTGATTTAGACCTGGTTTAGTCCTGGTTTAGACCTGGTTTAGACCTGGTTTAGATCTAGTTTAGACCTGGTTTTAGTCTTAGTTTAGACCTGATTTAGACCTGGTTTAGTCCTGGTTTAGACCTGGTTTAGACCTGGTTTAGATCTAGTTTAGACCTGGTTTTAGTCTTAGTTTAGACCTGATTTAGACCTGGTTTAGTCCTGGTTTAGTCCTGGTTTAGTCCTGGTTTAGACCTGGTTTAGATCTAGTTTAGACCTGGTTTTAGTCTTAGTTTAGACCTGATTTAGACCTGGTTTAGTCCTGGTTTAGTCCTGGTTTAGACCTGGTTTAGACCTGGTTTAGATCTAGTTTAGACCTGGTTTTAGTCTTAGTTTAGACCTGATTTAGACCTGGTTTAGTCCTGGTTTAGACCTGGTTTAGACCTGGTTTAGATCTAGTTTAGACCTGGTTTTAGTCTTAGTTTAGACCTGATTTAGACCTGGTTTAGTCCTGGTTTAGACCTGGTTTAGACCTGGTTTAGATCTAGTTTAGACCTGGTTTTAGTCTTAGTTTAGACCTGATTTAGACCTGGTGTCAGGGAATTCTACCCAAAAGACATCAAAAATACATTAAATAAAGACACACCAGAAAGAGACGGTTAAAATGAACACTTACGCAAGGAGAGTTTTGAACACTGTCCGTCAGCTCCCTGCTCCACTCTGCTCAACAACTCTCCAAGTCACACTTTTATTGAAAATCATGTCACAGATAAGCAACACTTGACGACATCACGATACATACATTTCACATGTTCTCTTATAACTAACAATCCTCCCATTTCACATTTGATTACACATCCCAAGGACAGACAATTACGTGGTTCCCCAAGGCCTTCAGTTTTAGCATAAGATGGTACAAACCCTAAGTTGTCATTCATATCTGCTGCTGTTTTCATGTCACGTACATCCTGAACCAAAACAGACCCAAAGCAATGTTGATTACACCATGATTAATATTTAAATGATTCATACTTTAATGAAAGAATTACATATATAAATGAGTAACACTTTAATGAGACTTACATTTATATCATCAAAATTCTCTGACACCTGGTTTAGATCCAGTTTAGACCTGGTTTTAGTCTTGGTTTTAGTCCTGGTTTAGATCCAGTTTAGACCTGGTTTTAGTCTTGGTTTTAGTCCTGGTTTAGATCTAGTTTAGACCTGGTTTTAGTCTTGGTTTTAGTCCTGGTTTAGATCCAGTTTAGACCTGGTTTTAGTCTTGGTTTTAGTCCTGCTTTAGATCTAGTTTAGACCTGGTTTTAGTCTTGGTTTTAGTCCTGGTTTAGATCTAGTTTAGACCTGGTTTTAGTCTTGGTTTTAGTCCTGGTTTAGATCTAGTTTAGACCTGGTTTAGTTTCTGGCAATGAGTGAAATTACCGTTAAAAAAAAAGAAAAAAAAGGGGGATATATAAATATAAAAGGGATTTAACCCAAAATGTGAAAACAGTTAAATCCCTCTGTTTAATCCATCCATTTCAACAAAGTAACTGTAATCCAATTACCACTCACTGAAACAGTAACTGTAACTGAATACAGTTACTCATCATTTGTACTCTGATTACATGTAATCTGTTACTCCTCAACACTGATTATAATAATAATGATTCAAAATTACCACATTTGAAGCTTTAATTGTTCTAAAAATCTCTACAAAACCTTTGACTTTTTACTCTTAAAGATCATTTTTAGCCCTTCTCAACTTTTCTTTTCTACGTAACTTTGACGATATTGCACCAAATAGCACCAAAATAGGCCAGTTTGTGTTTTTTTGTGTGTTTAATCTCTGTGATCACATTCATTGAACAGTCTGTGATCAAAATACTCACACCCGCGCTGCTTTGGTACATTTTTGTCCCATTGACTTCCGTTCATAATGCCTTTTTTTACGGGCATAACTTTGTCAGTGCCGTATTTTAAACACCATAGGTCGCACTCTTAAACCTCCAACCGCATCAAAAAACGACCGCGCACCACAATCCAGAGCGCCCCATACACGAATCCACTCAGGCGTCCCAGTACGACTTCAGTAAACTACAAAGCCACAAACACACACGGAGCAGACAGCGACCGCACAGAGAAACACACACACACACACTCATCACTCCACGCCGACGAGGAACGGAACGGAGGAACGAACCGAAAAAGCCACGAGCGCAACGTGCCGCTTCTAGACACGACTGAACAACTGAGTCACTGCGAACACGCCGACAATCCAGACAGCACCAAAGACTTGTCGTCTTGTCTCTTATGAGCGTCACGTGACAACGGAACCAAACTAATCGAACGTCGTCTCCCCACAGTTACAAGAAACATTATAGAAACGATTAGTTTTAAATCATGATTGATACATTAAACTGAAAATACAACCACATGTTTTTTTGTGCTGAGCAAACAAATGTAGGTTTCAGTAAATTATAATTTTATATGAGGTCCTTATGCACCACAGATTTTTTTAATGACGGTGATGAAACTGATAGTGTTGTTATTTTCTGATACCGCGGGATACTGTAATACCGGATCACCGTTCAACCATGTTTGAGTACTGTATTTTCCGGGCTATTAGACGCGCTCATAAACCTCCAACCCCATCAAAAAAACGACCGTGCACCACAATCCAGAGCGCCCCATACACGAATCCACTCAGGCGTCCCAGTACGACTTCAGTAAACTACAAAGCCACAAACACACACGGAGCAGACAGCGACCGCACAGAGAAACACACCCACACACACACTCATCACTCCACGCCGACGAGGAACGGAACGGAGGAACGAACTGTGCCGCTTCTAGACACGACTGAACAACTGAGTCACTGCGAACACGTCGACAATCCAGACACTACTCCCTACACGCCACAACTGAACAAAGCCCAGAGTCACTGTGAACGAACAAACAAACAAAACCACTCACACATCACACTGTTGGGTTTCATTTAAAGTCCCACACCGTTTATTTGTGAAAAAAGTTTGAAAATAGAACAAGAATATTGCACTGCATACGGACTGGACCAGGACTGGACCAGGACTAAACCGTTTTCAGTCCTGGTCCTGTTCCCGGTCTCAATCCTGGTCTCAGTTCTTGTCTGATCCCGGTCTCAATCTTAATCCCTGACTCAGTCCCGGTCTGGTCTCGGACCTCGTTTAGTCCTGGTTTAGTCCTGGTTTAGTCCTGGTTTAGTCCTGGTTCAGTCCTGGTTTAGTCCTGGTTCAGTCCTGGTTTAGTCCTGGTTTAGTCCTGGTTTAGTCCTGGTTTTGTCCTGGTTTAGTCCTGGTTCAGTCCTGGTTTAGTCCTGGTTTAGTCCTGGTTTAGTCCTGGTTTTAGTCCTGGTTTAGTCCTGGTTCAGTCCTGGTTTAGTCCTGGTTTTAGTCCTGGTTTAGTCCTGGTTTAGTCCTGGTTTACTCCGGAGGCGCAAATAATGAAGAAAATTGTTTTGGTTTTATATTGAAAAACAAGGTTCTTCTTCTGCCGCATTTTTCACTTTGACTTTGATTTTATTACGACTTCATTCTCGTGATATTATAACTTTATTCTCGTAAAATTACGACTTTATTCTTGTAATATTACGACTTTAATGTCAAAATGTTACGACTTTATTCTCGTAGCGCCAGCATGTTTTTTTTTTTTTTTTATCTGACCCTTATACTCCGTATTTAAAGTCTTAAATACATTTACTTCAAATAACTGACTGACTGTGATCAAGCCTCTCGCGCTTAAAGCTCCGTTCTGAAAGAGATGGCAAGAAAAGACGTAGATATTTGAAGTTAAAATGATGTGGTTGTGTTGTAGAGGAGCCCCAGCCTCATTCTTTTCTTGTGGAAATGTTTATGTAGAAAAGAAAAGTTGAGAAGGGTTAAAAAGTAAAAGTTTTTGTAAAGATTTTTTGAACAATTAAAGCTTCAAATGTGGTAATTTTGAAAAGGAATTCAGCAGATTTTCAACGATTCAACAGATTTCTCACTGTTTTTGTGTCTTTGTGTGTTTGATTTATTCAAAGTTGGGACAGAAACTCAAATTGAATGTCTAAAAATAAAGTCTCGGGTTTTTCAGCAGGTCTCAAACTGCAAAGAAAAGTCCTTTTTACTTTTCAGTCCGGATCTAAAACGCAGTGGAGCAGAAAGTACAGCTACCTGCTCTCAAATGAAGTGAAGTAAAAAGTATTTGACGGACACTTCGCTGGAAAAGTTAGACAATGCACTTTTAGTTTAGCTTTGCCACTTTTCTGCACCTTTATCTCATCCCTCTCTTCTTCTTCTTCTTCTCGTCCTCGTCCTCCAGCCTGCGCTCCGTCCTGCCTCTCCTGCTCGGGCCCGTCTCAGTGTGACTCGTGTGGACCGCAGGGGGCGCTGCTGAGCCCCGACCGACTCCAGTGTGTGTCCGTGTGTCCGTCTGGATCCTACCAACACGACCACGCGCACTGCAAAGGTAACGCGAAACCACCACACCGGCTTTTTAAAACAACCGGGTGTCATTCGTTTATTAGTTTTTCAATATAAATCCAAAAATAAGAAAATGAAAAAACAACAGTTTTCTTCATTATTTGTCTCCAAAACCAAAATGAAAAAACTGATCATTTGTTTTTTCAGTTTTCGATTTTGTGTTTGAATGAAAAATGGAAAAAATGGATAACGAACGTTTCCCGTTTACGTGACGTCAGTGACTGTGATGTCGGACTTTTGCACCGCGTACGGACTGAACCAGGACTGATCCAGGTCCAGGACCAGAGTGGGACTAGAGCAGGACCAGAGCTTTGACTCCGAGCCTCAGCTTCGAGCTCCGGCCCTGTCGTGGGCTCTGAGCCTCCGGTCTGGTCCCGGTCTGGTCCCGATTTGGTCCTGGTCTGGTCCCGGTCTGGTCCTGGTCTGGTCCCGATTTGGTCCTGGTCTGGTCCCGGTCTGGTCCCGGTCTGGTCGTGGACCTGAATTCGTGTGTCATTCGTTCATTCGTTTTTCAATATAAAACCAAAAATAAGAAAACGAAAAAACAACAGTTTTCTTCGCTATTTGTCTCCAAAACCAAAATGAAAAAACAGATAACGATTCGTTTTTTCAGTTTTCGATTTTGTGTTTAAATGAAGAATGGAAAAAACGGATAACGGCCGTTTCCCGTTTACGTGACTTCCGTGACTGCGATGCCGGACTGAACCAGGACTGATCCAGGTCCGAGACCAGAACGAGACCAGAGCGGGACTGAGACTGGGACAGAGCTGCTCTGGTCCTCCGCGCTCAAGAACCGCGGCTGGTTCTGAGGTGGTGCAAAGCCTCCGACTGACGCATTCACACCAACGAAAATGAATCGAACTAAGAGCTTTTGGTTCAAATGGACCAGGTCCGGGACCAGACCGGGACCAAAGCGCTACTGAGACTGGGACCAGACCGGGACCAGAGCGGGCCTGAGACCGAGACCGAGACAAGACCAGGACCAGACCGGGACCAGACCGGAGGCTCAGAGCCCACGGCAGGACCGGAGCTCGAAGCTGAGGCTCGGACCCCGTGGAGGCTCGGAGTCAAAGCTCGGAGTCCATCCTGGTCCCTGTCTGGTCCCGGTCTCAGTCCCGCTCTGGTCTCGGTCTGGTCTCGGACCTGGATCAGTCCTGATTCAGTCCGTATGCGGTGCAAAAGTCCGGCATCGCAGTCACGGAAGTCACATAAACGGGGAACGGTCGTTATCCGTTTTTTCCATTCTTCATTTAAACACAAAATCAAAAACTGAAAAAACGAATCGTTATCCGTTTTTTCATTTTGGTTTTGGAGACAAATAATGAAGAAAACAGTTGTTTTTTCATTTTCTTATTTTTGGTTTTATATTGAAAAACAAATGAACGAATGATACACGGATTTAACACCAGCACACGCTTTTTATTTTCTGATTTTGTTTGTATTTCATGAATTAATGAACTTTTAAGATGTAAATATGTCAGGATTATAAAACTGTGAATCATTTCCAGCTTCAGTTTCTCATAAAACAACAGAAAAATACAACAACAATCACACAAAAGTACATCACACACACGACACACAACACACGACACGCGGCACACGACACGCGACACACGACACGCGACACACGACACACGACACACGACACGCGGCACGCGACACGCGGCACGCGACACACGACACGCGGCACGCGACACGCGGCACACGACACACGACACACGACACGCGGCACGCGACACACAACAAACGACACACGACACACGGCACGCGACACACTGGGCTGGTCCATCAAAATCTGGTGGTAAAAGTAAAGTTACACATAACCTCGAGTAGAACCTGCGTTAGGTTTTAACTCCAAAAGATGATTTGGGGAGAAATTTGGAAGAAAAAGTCGATGTTTTGGAGTTTGCTCAAGCTGCATGAAGTTTTCTGGAAATTGACTCATTTTGCATTTTCAAGTCAAATTTATGGAGACTAAGTTTGTGTTTGCAGAATAAAATGACAAATTATTCAAATAGGTCTTATTTATTTGGATCTATTTTATAGTTTAGACCAGGGCCACTGCCTTCCAAGTAGATCACCAAGACATTTCTGACTTATACCATTGTGCTGAATAACAAACATGTGGTTAATTACACGACTATTACCATTTTACCAATGTAAATGTGTCAATTTGAACTTTGTGAACTAATAAATGGACAAATGTTTATGTTTTATAGGCGTCAAACTGTACCCAAAGACTTTCCTCTTTCTTAGAATTGTCTCAGTTTCTTGCGGCTGCTAAAATGAGCAGCTCTGTGACATTTTTGTTTTGTAAAGAAACTCACAGGAGGAAAAAGGTTGAAACCCGTGGTACAATTTTCAAATGTCTTGGCAAACCTCTAAATCTTAATTACTTTGCATAAAATTTGGACACAAATATTTTGGCCACATACGGAACCAAACGCAGAGTTCTAATCTAGAGAATCTTAAAAAACTTTTTTTTGGACCACCCTAATATACACTGTCCAGGCCGGCGCCACCTAGTGCCTCCGCTCAGTTTCATTTCTCTCCAGTGACTCGATCAGGAATCAGAAAACACTAGACGGTTTAAACAAACCACAGAAGTTTGAGTTCAGGCATCAGCCAATCAGAGAAGAGTCATATATTCTGTGTTGTCAACGATTCCCGAGATCGAGGATTTAAAGCCGGAACAAAGAGAATGTTTGGTGAATTTTATCAAGGGGAAAGACGTTATTGTTCTTCTTCCTTTGGGATTAGGGAAAAGCTTAATATACCAGTTCACCCCGTTAATGGAGCTTTACATACGTCACAACCACATAACAGTGACTGGTTAAATAAAAAAAGTACCCACCTACTGTTGAGCGAATGAATCCTAATGCTGCGAGGTCACACCATTTCCACAAAGTGAAACCGTGTGATGAATCAGGTTAACTATACACAAAACACACAATTCATTTCAGAGGGTTTATTTGAAGTTAAAAGTCAAAAGTTCAACCAAGAACCTCTCGATATAAATATGTCATTTATTTAAAGGTTGTATGGAGGATTTCTTTTGTTTAAAATTGTCACTGAATGTTCAAAGTAGCATTACAGAGACGCAGCAGCCCTGGAATTATGATGAACCAAAAAAAAAAAAGAATAAAAATCCATCAGCTGTGGACGTGGTGGGGCCAGAAAAACATCAGGCAATAGAGAACGATGCTGCCTCATTATCTCATTATCTATTGGCTGTGTAGGTTGTCAATCAAACTCTTCAGGTTTCTAGTGTACCTGACTTGCGGCGCGCTGGGATTACGTGGTTTATGTTTCTCTGCCTCTCACACGTGATTCCACGTAAACGAGACGCCGTTTACTCCACCAACACAGTGATTCTTGGCGAATTTTGTACTGTAGCTTCCTTGTCGTTTGCACAAAGTTTGTTGCGATGGCAGACGAAAACCCACATCCAGTTCTCCGCAAAAGAAAGTCTGTTTATGAGGTCGTTGAAAGAAGAAGAGAAGGGGAAAAGTAGCAAAGCCAAACTGAGGTGATTCTTGGAGATTCAATCCAGCGATGGCGCGACTGAAGCCGAAAACGAAGGGTCTAAAGACTGACGGGTCGGTCGCTGAATCACTCGTGGACATAAAACTTCAAGAGCGATTCTAAATGTGCACCGGCTGTAAACCAGCGTGAATTCTAGAGTAGAGCCCGACCGATATATCGGCCGATAGCCGATATTATATGGCTGCATATCGGCCGATAGCCGATACTCCATATCAGCAAGCATATCGGCTATCGGCCGATATGCTTGCTGATAGGGGCCGATATTTCACGTGGGCATGTTATACCTCATTATAAATCTTAGACTCTCTACATTCTGTTCATTTAATCCAATTTACAGACAGATAAATGTCCTAATATGTGGCTCCACATCAGTATTTATCTGTGGAGTCATTTGTCTGTGTGTGTGTCGTACTGTCCCTGAACACACCACAGAGTCGCGTCACTCACATGTGTTTGTTTACACCTGCAGACACAGATCCAAACACTGAGATTATTTTCTTTTTACGGACAATCGGTTTGAGTCTGGATTAAAAGGACATTTATTAGTTCAGACTTGTGATGTGGGAGGAGCCTGTGTGACGCTGAGTGTTGAAAATATGTCGACTCTGAAGCTAGTTTTTGTCATTTGTTATGGGTTAGCTGCTGTAGCTCCCGCACATAAACAGACTGTTTTCTATTGGTCTATTGTAAAGTGACTATATTGGCCGTATATTTGTTACTGGACCTGCACTGATATGTAAATGAGCTGTGAACAGACGTGTGAATTATGACATTTGCGCATATAATTAATTACTGCGGCGCGCACGTATTTACGGCTAAAGGCTAATAGCGCTACTTTCTTTACTAGTTATGAGTTCGTTGCGAACGAAATGACTCTTAGAACCGGCTCTTTGAAGGGAACGACAGGAGCCTGATCCTTATTGGGAGCCGTGTTTTCTCTTTCTCTCACTTTTTTTTCTCTTCACGCCGCGTGATTCGTGGTTTGACAGCGGCAGCGGCTAAAAACAAAACTTTGAGAAATTTGCGTGTACGTAGGATTAAAACAAAAACGAGCATATTTGACTGTAATTTAGCATAAAATAAAGTCCTGGTTTAGTCCTTTTTCAGTCCTGGTTTAGACCTGGTTCAGTCCTGATTCAGTCCTGCTTTAGACCTGCTTGCAACAAAACAATCTGAAGAGCCACTTGGGAGCCAAAAGAACCAGCAGCTTTTAGTGAGCCGAGCCAAAAGAGCCGGTTCTCTAAAAAGAACTGGAATCCCCATCACTAGTGTCTAGAATGTGATGCAAAAATGCCATTAAACCAACCTACTGTCTGTAAATATGATGTAAAGAGGCAGAATAACAATAAATGTTGCCTAAATAAACCCAATTTAAAATCCACCAGAGCCAAACCTAAGTTTTTTAAACAATTCAACATTTACAGTGAATTTTTAAATCAC